AGCACCGACAGGCTCTGAGCCCCTCCCCCCCTCTAGGGGCAGCCAACCGCAGGATAATGAGGCCTTGCCACCTCCGCCTGCACTCGAGACTGCTCAGGGATTCTTGTGCTATGAGTGTGGTCATGTTGCACGCACGGCTCGCCTGTACAGGATCCACAGATCCAAACAGCACAAGCCAGTGGATGCCCCCGAGATGGTGGCCACTGGTTCGATGTGCCCCATTTGCTGCGTGGAGTTTCGGCAGGGGGGACGACTGGTTAAGCATCTCCACAGGTCCACTGCTTGTTTTCGTGCGTGGTTGACCTCCCCCTTGAGACCCAGCAAGGCTGAGCTGGAAGAGGCCGTGGAGCAGCGAAAGCTCGAGGCTCGGGAAAATCGGAGAAGGGGCAAGTCGGACACGTATGCCCTCGTCCCTGCCCAAAAGGTTTACGGGCCTCCCTTTCGTGTGAGGGTGTTTGACCCCCCCCCTGAGCGTGTCGACATTCCCCGCTTCCCTTTTGACTTGGACGGCGCGGTGCCCCCCTTGGCGTGCGATCGCGTGGTCACCCGCCCAAATGCTCAGCTCGTGGGTCTCTTAGGGAAGCAGGCCGAGGACGGTAGAATGGTGAGGGCCTTTAATGCCCCTTGCCGCATGGACCCCCTTGCTCCAAGTCCCCTTCGTGCTCCCCGGCCAGAACGGGATGAGGTCGAATCCTGGGAGGGTAGGTTGGCCGAGGGCGAGGTCGCGGGACTTCTGGTAGCACCTCACCTTCCAACGTGGCGACCTCAACGACACACCGTTCGCTCTCAGGCAAGGCCCTGGGGCTGTGACCGCTTGTCTCAAAGGGAAGGGGAGGAGGTAGGTCAGGACAACGAGTCCCTGCAGGCCGCCCTTCTTTTATGCATGCTGTGCTTGCAGTATGATCTGCCTTTTGTGTTGTTGATTCCGCAGGAGTGCCAGAAAGTTCCTGAGCTTACGGGGCTGCTTGAGTGCGATGGGGTGGCCTCGGTTGTGGTGGATATGTGTTCTTTCGGGGCCCCGCATTTGTATCCTAGCCTTGTTGTGGCCAAGGGTCTTGCGTCCTTGGACGCTTTCGTGCCTGGGGTGTTTGGCGGACTTTGCCATCATAGCCGTGGCCATTCGCCCCCCCCCCCCCGTGATTCGAGCCAGTTCCCTGCGTCGGCGGTCGGACTCGCCGCGGCGCTCCTGGTGCAGGCCTACCTGGGCAGGCCTGTGGACGGTGGCTCTTGAGTCCCTCATCTCACCCTCCCCCTTCCTCTGCATGTGCATGTTGGGGTGCTGTCTTCGCCTTCTCTCTCATCCTTTTAAGCAGGGGCTTCGAACCTCTTAGGCCCTTAGGTAGCGAGCGAGCGAGCGAGCGAGCGAGCGAGCGAGCGAGCGAGGAGGAGGAGGAGGAGGAGGAGGAGGAGGAGGAGGAGCAGGAGGAGGAGGGAGGAAGAGCGAGGAGGGAGGAGGAGGAGGGGGAGCGGGGTCGCCAGGTGGCTCAGGGGATCCCGTGAGGGATGGCTGGCACACCTTTTGGCGCCGGCCCCCGCTATACCGGAACCCCGGAGGAGGAGGAGTGAGGAGGAGGAGGAGGAGAGAGGAAGGAGGAGGAGGAGGAGGGGGGGAGAGGAGGAGGAGGAGGAGGAGGTAGGAGGAGGAGGAGGAGGAGGGGAGGAGGAGGAGGAGGACACGAAGGCACCGATGCCGCTGCTCCCTGGACCTCTCCCAGGGCGCGTTCCGACCAGGGAGGCCCCCCCCAAAAAGGCGAAAGCACGGCAAGGGTGTAGTAGCATCGGTACCTCTTCCGCCTCCCCTGAGATCCGACATAGCGGAAGTATTGCAACATCGTGAAAAATCACGCCCGGAGCCATTGTCCCCATCTGTCTGTATCCTTTCTCAAGCCGGATCGATCTGTGACGGTCCTGGGCCCGAAATTGAGCGACAACGCTCGGTGTGAAAAAATTGCAACGCCAAGATTTCAGGGCCTGACCGGAGCTTACTCCGCCGGGCAGGTCTGCGCTGGATCGGATGGCGAAATCGGATCGGACCGTTAGCGGATCGAATCGCCGGCGAATCGTCTCGAATCGGATCGGCAACGGATCGCCGCGCCCCGCTTCTGGCTGACCCTGGCCGATGCCGGTGAATAGAGCCTCATCGCACCAAATCCGGAATCGCGGCCCCAGCCGGCGAATCGCATCGCATCGAATCGGATCGTGGGCGGCCCCGCCGGGTCCGTGCCGGCGGGGAAGACCAGCACGCGCAGCACGAGATCGCCGACGCGCTTCGGCTGGGACCGCAGGGGGTCCCCGCAGCGGAACGCGTCGGGGCCTCGGCCGCCCCCGCGGCACCGCCGGGGAAAGCCAGCGCGCATCCGCCACAGAGCCGCGGGGCACGGGCGTAGCCGCCCTCCTCCTCCCTCCTCTGTCCGTCCCTCCTCCTCCTCCTCCTCCTCCTCCTCCTCCTCCTCCTCCTCCTCCTTATCCGCCTCCTCCTCCTCCTCCTCCTCCTCCTCCTCCTCCTCCTCCTCCTCCTCCTCCCTCGCTCCTCCTTCATCCTCCTCCTCCGCCGCCTCTCCTCTCCTCCTCCCCCCTCCTCCTCCTTTCTGCCTAAGCCTCCAAGCCTCGAGCATCCCTCCCGAAGAGTTTGAAGAGCACGGGGGCCCCAAAACTCTCATAAATCTCCCGGGCCTTGGCGCATGTGGCGCAGTGCCCCCATGGGCCTCCAGAGCCGCTATGTCGCGGACCTCGTGCAGCACCAAGAGAGCCCCCAGGACGGCTCCTCCTCCTCCTCTCACCCCCTCTCCCCTCCTCCTCGTTTCCTTCCGTTTCTCCTCCTCCTCCTCCTCCTCCTCCTCCTCCTCCTAAGACGGCCCTCCAGAGGCCCCCGATGCGCCCCAGGATCGCAACAGGAATCTCAAGACGGCCCCACGACTGTCCAAAAGGGGCCTTCCCCAGCACGCCGCAGGGAGGCCTCGAGGAGGCCTCCCGAGGCATGCCCCACGAGGCACGACGCCATTCTTTTCCCCCATGGGCTCTGGCGCACTTTCTGGAACGAACCAGTGCGCCCCGCCCGCCCGCCCGGCGCCGCGGCGAGGGCGCGCCCGTGCAGACTCTGCAGGGGCCTGTGGAGGAGGAGGAGGAGGAGGAGAGGAGAGGAGGAGGAGGAGGAGGGCGAGGGCGGAGGGCGGAGAGGAGGAGGAGGAGGAGGAGAGGAGGAGGAGGAGGAGGAGGAGGAGGAGGAGGAGGAGGAGGGAGGAGGAGGGAGGGTGGGGTGAGGAGGGGGCAGGGAGAGGGAGGCGGAGGAGAGAGGAGGACGGGGCACGCCCGTGCCCGCGCGGCACGCCGGGAGGGACGGCGAGGCGAGGCGAGGCGAGGCGAGGCGGACGCGGGAGGCGCGCGCGCTCCGCGAGGGAGCCCGCCCGTGCCCGCGTGAAGGCTCGGCGCGGAGGCCGCGACCTCGCACGCGCGAGCTGCATGCCTGCCTCGCCATCGCTCGGACGTCCATTTCCCGTGCATTTGTCGGTTTCGTGCGTGTTTTTTTGTTGCTGGATGGTCCAGGATCGTCCTCAGTGGTTCTCGCCGAGAAAAAATGCACACGTCCGAGCGATGCCAGGCTGACCGTCTCTCGGCGAGGCGCGCCAGCGATCGGCCGCGATCGCGTGCCCTTGTGCCCGCCGTGAGGGGCCGCGGAGAAGCCTCGAAGGCGCGGGCTCGTGACTGAAAGGTGGCGGGGGCCCGGAGGGGGCAGGAGGGGAGGAGGAGGGGGGATGGCGGCGGAGGAGGAGGAAGAGGAGGAGGAGGAGTGGAGGAGGAGGAGGGGGCGGAGGAGGAGGAGGAGGTGCGCGGTGCTCGTGAAAGGCACCCATGCCGCCAGGATTCCCTCGTGTGCCTCCCTCGTGTTCCTCCCTGGGCGGCCCTCGCGTCGCCGGTCAGCTGGATTCGCCCCGAACTCCTGGCGCGACGGCATCGGCGCCCTCTTGGCCTCCCCGGGGGCGGTGCTGCTTGGAGCCCCGACACGGTGCGGCGACAGACCGTGCGGCGACCTCGGAACCCCGAGAGACCTCACCGCACGGTCCGTCCCCGCACGGTCTTGGGACCCTGGAGGCCCCTGTCGCCCCGAGACATCCTCGGAGAGGGGGCCCGAGTCCCAAGACCGTGCGGTGACCCCGAATCCCCACCGACTCACCGCACGGTGTGGTCACCGCACCGTTTGGGGGCCCCCGATCAGCTGCTGCTGGCATGGCAGGCCACCAGGAAGAGCCCCAGCGGGGCCCGAGAGGCCCCAAGAGGCCCCCCAGACGGCTCCCGGACGGCCCAGTCCGGCCCGCCTCAGATGGACGCACGGCCCCAACACGCTTCTACGGCAACGCCCACTGGAAGAATGTGGCACCCAGGGCTCCCCAGCGGGTCGGCGGCGCGGCGTAAGCTGATGAGTCAGGGGCGGGGTGTTCGGAGAGTTTGGGATGCTGCGACCGGGCGCGCGATGATGTCGATGACGGATCCGTGGACTTGGCGCGTGGGTGCTGGGTCCACGGATCGGGCAGGACCCCCCGGCACATGAAGCCAGTGCCGCGCGATCGGGCGACGGAGCGCGCCGATGTCGTGCCGGAGCGAGGCCCGCCGCGGGCCCCACGCGCCTCAGCCCATGTGTTGCGCCTCCTCGCCGGGAGGGTGCCTAAGCCGCTTCCTGCCCACTTGGACTCGCCAAGGTCGTCAGAGTGCACGGCAACAGAGGGGGCGAGCGCTGGAAAGATATCCGGCCACGCGTGTATCCAACTCTCGCCCCGAGCCCACCGCGTCACGTAGATCAAACCGCCTGGCATGCGCTGGTCACGGAACAACTGCTTGACGTGCTTTCGGTGGGTCAGGAGCTGGCTCCCCCAGCCCCCAGGCTGAAACCTGTCCGGGGGGGCTGACTGGGCAACGGCGCTGGCACAACTGCACATCAGATCTGGGGCTGCACGGACTCGGAATGCTCCGCCCAGAAGTGGCGCAAACGTTCAACAACGATCGTGTGAACAACGCGTTGAAACCTCCTGCTCAGAGCATGGCGCCAACGACAACAACAAGCACTTTTCCATCGAGGTGGCTTCCGAAATCCACGTCGCATGCCAGCGGGAAAAAACATAACGAGCTCCAGGCTTGCTGCACGCAAGCACTTGATGAATTCCAGACCGTGGATGCAGACGGCTCCCATGTCTGAAGCAACGCCTGGTCTGGGCTGGACCAATGGAAGGGTGGCAGAAGGAAGTGGCCAACATGCACCAGCGTGGAATTTGGGCTGCCGCCCCTCCACAAACGTGAGGACCCTTCCTTCTGTCGGTGTCCTCCTTGCCCGAGCCTTCCTGATAGATCTTGCTGCTCAGAGTAGCTACACACGCTTATTTTCCCGCTGGCTCCTGCAATCTAAGCAGCCGGGCGTGAAGTGCCCCAGCAGACCCCAGCATGCCCCGCGGACTGCCGCCGTCTCGCCCGCCCTCTGGGCCATCACGGCCGCTCCGCAGGCCTCGGGGACGTCGACCCGCCCGGAGGCGCCCGCATGGCGGCGGGAGGAGGGGACCGCGACGAGACGTACGCGGGCGACTTCGCGGCCCCTTTCGGCGCTGCCGCGGCGACCGTGGGAGCAAAGAAGATCATGCTCAGCATGCACGCGGCAATGAGGATCGCGTCCACGTTGGCCTTCACCTGGCCGGCCGGGCGAACACTCCTGGGAGCCAAGAGGGGTCCCCGGGCCACGGAAGGGCATCCTTGCTGCATGCGAGGGCAGCCAGAGAGAAAGCGCCCATGATGAGGCAGGCCAGCTGCCCTCTCGACGATCTGGCCTCTGGGCCGTGAGCGACGCCACGCGAGGCTATCCACGGCGATTGGCAACACCAGTTGGAAGCTCCAGAGGATCCCATGTTGTGAAAAGGCGGCGTCGCACCCCCAGGGGCACGGAGCTCAACCAGCCAGTAGAAATCAGACCCTGCTCCTCCCTGGCACCATGCCCAACCCATGTTGCCTCCAGTAGTGTTGCCAGGTGGAGGAGGAGGAGGAGGAGGAGGAGGAGGAGGAGGAGGAGGAGGAGGAGGAGGAGCAGGAGGAGGAACAGGAGGAGGCGGAGGAGCCGGAGGAGGCGGAGGAGGCGGAGGAGGCAGAGGTGGCGGAGGAGGTGGAGGAGGAGGAGGAGGTGGAGGAGGAGGAGGGGGAGGACGAGGAGGAGGAGGAGGAGAAGGAGGAGGAGGAGGAAGAGGAGGCCTCCCTGGCACCATGCCCAACCCTGTCCAGCGTTGCCACAGGTATCCCCGGCCCGAGATGCCCCCAGGGTGTCCCACGGGGCCCAGGCGGCCTCCCGGGCGCCCCTCACGAGGCCCCGAGGGCCCCATGGGGCCCCAGAAGCTGGGACCTTCGGCAACATCTGCTTGTCGAAAGCGAGGCAGAGTTGCCTGCACCAGCGCCAGAGCTAGATGGGGGCACCGAAAAGCGAATCCGCCAGCGTGCAAGAGACGGCGGCCGCGGAGGGGGGGGGGCACCTTCGGCAACACGCGACGGTGGTTGCAACAGCACTCGAGGCCCCGTGGACGGGGACTCTGGCAAACCAGGACCTGGGCGGGCCCGGAAGAAAGCACAGCCGCGGGTTAACACGCTCTCCATTCCTAGCTCTCTTCTTAACTGGAATCCCCAGGGCTGAGAGCCGCGTATAGATGCACTAAGGTATGCAGGTCGTCGCCCGAAACGTCGTGCACATATTTTTCTGAACGACTCCTGCTCGGCTGACGAATGTCCACTACGCTCAGCACGGTGGCGGTTGCGCACGCAGTGTTGTTGTCACGATTCTGTCACCAGAAAGTCCTGGTCTGCAATGCCCTTATCTCAAGGGCCCTGAGTGGGAGAGACGTCAGACCTGGGTTTGGGAGGCTCGGGTTGGCCTGACGGGGCCATCGAAAACGACAAGACCAAATCCGAAATCAGACGCGAGCTCCCGCTGCAACCATCCCACGAAAACTGGACTGCCCAAACTCAGAAAAGGGTCCGTGAAACAGCGAGGGCAAACCTGAGCTCTGGCGAACTCGCTTCTCCTCCTCCTCCTCCTCCTCCTCGTCCTCCTCGACCCTCGGTTCTCGACGCTATCCTCGATCCTCCTCCTCCTCCTCCTCCTCGATCCTCCCCGATCCTGCTCCTCGATCCTGCCCCTCGATCCTCGATCCTCGAGTCTCGCGCTTCCCTGGCGGAAGCGCATATGGACTCCGGCGCGGCTGGCCTGGAGCGTCCACTCGGCCCCGGAGCTCCCCGCCGCCGCCACCGCCCTGTCGGGGGGGACAAAAGGTTGAGGTACGGGGGCAGAGGTGCGGTTGGAGGGAGAATCGCTCAAAAACGGCCCGTGTAGGAAGGAGATGTGGGTACCTATCCATACCCTCGGTCGATTGTTACGATGTGTTGCAAAATGTCGGCCCCCGAAGGTCACGACCCATTCCCTGGGACTGGCTTTTCATCCCGAGTCGTTTTTTGACGGTCCCGAGGTCCATCGAGTGCCCCCAGGGGCGGAAAAGAGCGAAAAACCCTCCGTCATGGTCTTTTCCTGACTCGAGGGTGTCTGGGTATCCCGCTGGACACGGTAGGTTCGTGTGGCGTCGGCGCGCGCAAAGATTTTCGACACCGTGCCGATCATTCCACCTTGTAACGATCGAGGCCCCGATCGTTTAAGGTTGAATTCCGTCTGGTCCAGTGGCTTCACCGTGTCCCTCGGTGCTGCCACGTCGCAGAATTCAACCTTGAACGCCTTCGCCCGCGTCACCAGCGCTCCAACGCCGCATGAGCCTACTGTATGTTCAACGAGCCCCCACCTTGCGATCACCCTAGACATCCGGCCGCTCCAATGTTTTCGATGAATGGGCGCCAGAGGCTTGGACCACTTCCCTGGGGCTGGTTTTTCGTCCCGAGTCGTGTTTTGACGGTCCTTGGGCCTGGCGAGAGCACCCGCAGGCTGAACATGGCCAAAAAAAACGACCGCACCACTCTTTGCCGGAGCGTCGGCTCCCTGGTTATGTTCCCCAACCCCCCACCTTGGGACAACCCAAGGGCAGAAGATCATCCTTCAAGAATTCAAGCCCTCCGCAGGCCAAAGCACCCCAGGGTGCACACGAGCACCCAACAAACACGAAGAACATTCGGGTACACCCTCCCCGAACCGACCTCGATCTCATACCTCCCCTGAGATCCGACGTTGCGAAAAATTTCAACATCGCGAAAAACCATGACCGAAGCCCGGGACCCCATCTTCCAACTTCAAGTTTCGGGCCGCATCGAACTGCGAGGGCCCCGGGGCCCGCAATTGGGCGAAACCGCCCGGGGTGCAAAAGTTGCAGCGCCAGGATCTCAGCTGGAAGAGGAGGGGGAGGAGAACGAGGGCCCAAAAGGCAAAACAAAACCGTGGCGCTCAGCAAAGCGCGGGCCAACGTGCCCTGGCCAACGGCCAAAGTGGCCAACGGCCAACACCAAGGGCACTCGCGCAAAAAGAGGGAATCACGGACACAAGCTCGGACCTGACCTCCGGCCTCTTTTCCTTGACTAACTCCCAATAGCGCCAGCAACGCTGTGCCTTAGGGAGGAAATCAAGGAAAAGAAAGCAAACCAAGGACCGCCCTACACCCCGCGCCAAAATGGCGCACGGGGGTTCGGGATCGGCGCCCAAGGGGCAATACACGGAGCGTTGCCCAGCGCCCGCACCCTCACAAGCACGGCAACAGTGTGCCCGCGGCAAAGAGCACTGCAACCAAGAGGTTGCAGGCGGGAAGCCGCGGGCCCCGCCTCCGTGATCGTCAACGGCGGTACACCTCAGACCAGGAGGTGCGTGCCACTGGGGTCTCCCCGCGAGGCCGCACCTCTTGGCCGAGGTGGCAGGGCACTAAAAACCCTGGCCTGACAGCTGCAACGGCGACAGCGGCGGCAGCAGGGCGGGGAGGGGGAAGGGCCACTCTCCGGCCCAGGAGCGCAAACAACGTCCACCCTGGAACTTAATCCAGGGCCGTGTCGCAACTCCCAAAGAGGGAAGGGGCGACGGACACGAAGACGAAACGAGACACGAAGGACGACAACGAACGACCACGAACTCCCAGAGGGAAGTGCCGCCCTCCGCCCGTTCCTTATCGCACCCGCGAGCGGGCGGGATAAGGGAGCAGGAGGAGGATGAGGAGGAGGGGGAGAAGTGAGGAGGAGGGGGAGGAGGAGGAGGAGGAGGAGGGGAGGAGGAGGAGGAGGAGAAGAGGAGGGAGGAGGGAGGAGGAGGGGGGAGAGGAGGAGGAGGAGAAGGAGGAGGAGAGGAGAAGGAGGAGGAGAAGGAGAAGGAGGAGGAGAAGGAGGAGAGGAGGAGAAGGAGGAGGAGAAGGAGGAGGAGGAGGAGGAGAAGGAGAAAGGAGGAGGAGGAGGAGGAGGAGGAGGAGGGAGGGGGAGGAAGGAGGAGGGGGAGGAGGACGAGGAGGAGAGGGGGAGGAGGAGGAGGAGGAGGAGGAGGAGGAGGAGGAGGAGGAGGAGGAGGACGGGAGGGGGAGGAGGAGGAGGGGGAGGAGGAGGGGGAGGAGGGGGAGGAGGAGGAGGAGGGGGAGGGGGAGCACGAGGAGGAGCCCCTGCGAGCCTGCCGCTCGTGGCGAAGGCCCGAAAGTGCAGCTCCGGGCCGGGCTCGGCCAGCACCTTCATCTTCACCTGCCCGTCCTTCGGGGCTTCGCAAGCGGGAAAAACACATTGTGGGAAAAAAATCACAAAACACACAACAAACACACTGTGGGAAAAACACACACAGGGAAAAACCACACACACACAACACACACACACAAAACACACAGTCTGTGGGGAAAACCACACACACAGTCTGTGTGTGTGTGTGTGTTTTTCCCACTGTGTGTGTTTTCCCACTGTGTGTGTGTTTTTCCCACTGTGTGTGTTTTTGTTCCCACTGTGTGTTTTTCCCACAGGGCTTAGCCAAACCGGGGCTTGGGCTTTCCAGTTTACTGTGCCCCCGTCTAGGGCGCCCAGGGAGGAGGGGCGTCGGCAAAGTTACCGCCAGGGATGCATGGCTTGTGGCAGCCACGCGTTCGTAGCGACGCGGCTATCTGATCCTTCGATGTCGGCTCCTGCCATCATTGAGGCGCAGAAGCCCCAAAGTGTGAGCTCCAAGACGGCCCAAGAGTCCCCAGGGGGCCCGAGGGGGCCCCCGAAACGAGGGCATAGCCAAACGTGAGAATCGGCGGTCCCCGTGCCCCCGTTTGCTCTGCCCCCGTCTCTAGCGCTCAAAATCCTGGTGGCCGCAGTGCGCCCGGATCCCCCCGCTTCCGTCGGCCGCGGCAAGTCTGTGCGGCGTCGCCGCGCGCAATGGTTTTCCCTAAAATCCTGGCGTGCAATTTTTTCACACCGGGCATTTCCGCCCCATTTCGGGCCCCGGGACACTCACAGATCGATCCGGCTCGAAACATGACGCAGAAAGATCGGGTCTGGGGCTCCGGTCGTGGTTGTTTCACGATGCTGCAATTCTTTCGCAACGTCGGATCTCGGGGAAGGTCCGTGCGGCGTCGGCGCGTGCAGAGGTTTTCGACACCGCGTCGATCGTTCAGCCTTGAACCGATCGTGAGCAGGGGATACGTCGACCCCTATCCCAGGCGCCGCGGGATTTTCGAATAGACTAGACATGTTGGGCCCAACCCTGGGACATACGATCGGGGGGCGTCCATCCTCGATAGGGGTGCGTCCGTAAAGCCCCCCTGGGGTGTATCCCAAGGTTTCCCCGTTCTTCTGAGATGCCAAGCTTTTCGGGCGGAAGTCGGGGATTGAGCGAGAATCATCGCCTGCGAATCGCGACCCCGATCGTTCAAGATTCAATTCCGTCGGGCCCATTGGCGCCACCGTGTCCCTCGGTGCTTCCGCGTCGCAGAACTCAACATTGAACGCCTCTGCCAGCGTGGCCAACGCGCAGTCGTCGCATGAACCTACCGTGCACGCAAGAGTGACCCTAGGCAAGAGTGATCTTTGGTGCGCGGCTTAACGGGGGACGCGGGGTGGCCAAACGTGGGCCGCAAGCCGCTGCTACCGTTTCGCATGAAGCTCTCTGTGGACCCATTTGTGCCCGCAGCAAAGGCCACTCCGGCGGACGGTCACTCTGACGTCTGGCCGACTCTGGGGAGCTGCACGGACCCCTGAGAACCATTTTCCTGCCTCGATCGAAAGATGAGATGCCCGAACGCATCCAGGCCGTCTCGAGTCATGAAGCACAAGCACGACGAGATGCTGTTTGCTAGTTTCGGCCTCTGGGGTCCCTTCTTGGATGACCGCGGAGGCTGCGAAGGGGATAGAGAGGTTACACGTGGATGCCAAGGTGGGCTATATCTGGCATGAACGAAAGTACTAGTGGGCTACAAGCGCCTTAAGTGACTTGGGTGGGTTCGACAACTCCGCTAAGTGGGCGCAGACCACGCAGTCCAGGTCTTCGGCAACTAACGCATGCTTAATCCAGTTATGAGCTATGTTAAGCCAGATGTAACACACCTTAGAATATACGTATGACCTCCCCATTCCTTTAGCAACACTCCGCGGTCATCCCACTTACCAGGCCTCGGGACAGTCAAAACACGACTCAGGATGAGAAGCCGTCCCAGGAAATGGGTTCAGACCTCTGATGATCGACTTTTGTGAACCAAATCATGATGACGGGGGTCTGGAGATCCTGGCGTTGTATTTGTTTCGAGCCGGGCATTTTTTGCCCGATTTCGGGCCCCAGGGCCCTCACATATCGATCCTGTTCGAAAAATGACACAAAAATGGGGTCAGGGGCTCTGGTCGTGATTTCTCACAGCGTCTGGTCGTGATTTCTCACGGTGCTGCACATTTTCTCGCGTCGTCGGATCTCAGCGGCCGCCGCCTCCGAGAACCCAACGTGGGGCGCGGCGGGGGGGGCACCCCTGAGCGGAGGCACGCACGAGCGTCAACCGGTATAGGACGGCGCTCGGTCGTGCCACTGGCCATGGCCCCCCTCCCCCCCGATGGCTTCTCGGTGGCGGTGCTGCCCATGGCCAGGTCGGGCCCGGCCCAGGCCACACGGCTGCGCGTCTCGCGCCTCAGAGGCGCGAGACATTTGGGACGAACGGCTCGGTGCTTGATGTAGTGGTGGCTGCTGCGTGCCTGCGTAGTCTTAAGTCGGGCGTGTCCCCCTACAGGGGGATTTTCGACGAAAACTAAGAAATACACTAAAAAATACTCCAAAATGGTCAAACAATACTCAAAAAAGAGTCCCAGGACTGTTCTTGGACTATCTCTGAATATTCCTCCTGTAGAGGGACGGGCCCGACTGAAGCGCAGTCACAGGCTACCCGGGCAGGCTGTAATCTCCATGGTGGTTGGCTGGTCGTGCGGACAGCGCGCGCAGGCCCCACACCTCGCGGAGCGGTGGCTCAGAACTCTGGCCTCGCGCTCGGACGTCTCGGGCTGCTTCTGCACGCGGGCTCAAACACCAGTCCAGGCATCCGGCGTCTCAATTTGTTCTAGACGTGGGCCCCCGACCTCTCGACCACTTCTCCAGGGCTGGGTTTTCATCCCGAGTCGTCCTTTGGAAGTCCCGAGGCCCGGGAAGGGCCACGAGGGCAGAAGAACCAAGACATGCACAAACACAAGCTTTTGACGGTCTGCTCGGATTTCTTGGATCTGCGCTGAACCCCCCTCCCCAGCGCGCGGAGCGCGCCAGGGGCAGCGCCGGAAACGCCGCCTGGGGGGTCCAGCGCAGATGCAAGAAATCCTTGCGTGGCGTGGAACATTGATGTCGATGTCGCTTTGGGTTCAGAGAGAGAGAGCGACACCGATGGAAGCATCTCCGTCTCGATTTTCTCGAGACGCGGGATGTCTGGGAATGCCCACGGCCACCAATTCTGGGGCCGACTGGACGCCCAAAACCGGCAGCGCTAGAGTCCAGGCGCTTCAGCCGGGGAAGCGCAATGCTCGAGGATCGAGGATCGAGGATCAATGATCGAGAACCGAGGAGGAGGAGGAGGAGGAGGAGGAGGAGGAGGAGGAGGAGGAGGAGGAGGAGAGGAGGAGGAGGAGGAGGAGGAGGAGGAGGAGGAGGAGGAGGAGGATCGAGGAGGAGGAGGAGGAGGAGGAGGATCGAGGATCGAGGATCGAGCGTCGAGAATCGAGGGTCGAGGATCGACGAGGATGAGGATCGAGTTCGCCAGAGCTCGGGTTTGCCCTCGCTTTTTCACAACACCTTTTTCGAGGGCCCTCTTTTTCGAAGATCGAGGATCGAGGAAACCCTCGCGCCCTCGCGGGGGCACCCCCCTGGACAAGGCCAATTTCCCATGCTCACATCGTCAACTCCCAGAGGTCTCGATCCATTCCCCCCCCCACAAGTCTCGACCCATTCCCCGGAACCGGTTTTTCACCCCGAGTTGTTTTTGACGGCCCCGAGGCCTGGCGATGGCCCCCAGAGGCCGAAAATCATGAAAAACCTGCCGTCGTGACTGCAATGACTCGAGGGGAACGGCACCAGAGAGAGGGGTGCGAGGCAAGCTAGGTTCGCTCGCGTCATATCTCGTATCTGACGCCCTACCCCTCCCTCCCATCCCTTATCATGGCTTAGATTTCCTCTCTCTATTCGCACAGTGGGATGTCGAGCAGGGCAATGATCCCGAGAGGGTGCGCGATGCATCGTAGAGCACAGCCTAGCAGGGCGTAGAAGAGCAAGGCAGAGTGTAGTATGTCATAGCATGGTGTGGCGTTGCGTAGTGCAAAAGTGCATTACAAAGTGTTGCAACGCAGATAATGGCATCGCACAGCGGCACATAACAGAACATGCCATAGCATGGCGTTGGATATCAACACGTAGCATGGCATAGCATGGCGTGGCACTGCGAAGTCAAGCACTGCTTATCCTACCATTGCAGCTGAACGCAACGGAACACCACATAGCATTGCGTTGTATGCCGTGGTATGGCTCTGGAAATAATGACGCCAGCGCTGCAGCGGGAGCACGATTCGGAACGAGCGGAAGCGTGTGGA